GCATCCAGGTGTCCCTGCAAGGCTCATTTAATATTCAAAATTATTCAGTGTAGTATACCATATTAACAAAGAAGAAAAATCTCATAATTATATCCATGCAGAAAAAGAATTTGATAAAGTCAGTGTCTGTTTATGGTAACACTCTCAAGAGAACTACAAATAGAGGAAAATTTCCTGAACTTTCTAAAGGACATTTCTAAAACCTTCAGCTAATATCATACTTAATTGTGAAAGACTGATTTCCCAGTAAGATCAAGGACAAGGCAAGGATATCCCTTTTACTGTTTTTATTCAACTTAGGGCTGGAAATTCTAGCTAGTGAAATAAAGCAAGAAAAGGAAATTAAAAGGCATATAGTTCGGAAAAAGGAAAAAAAAATTGTCCCTATTTGTGGTTGACATGACTGTCAGTATAGAAAATCCCAAGGAATCTGTAAAGTAAACCCCTAGAACTAATAAATGAATTTAGTGAGTCACAGGATATAATCTATTTTATTTCTAAAAACTTTTTTAATGTTTATTTGTTTTTGAGAGAGAAAGACAGAGCATGAACGAGGGAGGGTCAGAGAGAGGGGGACACAGAATCCGAAGCAGGCTCCAGGCTCTGAGCTGTCAGCACAGAGCCCAACACGGGGCTCGAACTCACGGACTGAGATCATGACCTGAGCTGAAGTCAGATGCTTAACCAACTGAGCCATCCACGTGCCCCCTGTTTTATTCTATATACTATAATAAACATGCAGACACCAACATTAATACAGTATTACTTAGAATTGCACAAAACAATTGGGTACTTAAGTGTAAATCTAACCACACACGTAAAATAACTATATACTGAAAGTTTTTTTAAATGCCAATGAAAGAAATGAAAGGTGATCTAAATAAATGGAGAGATATATTGTGTTCTTAAATGGGGGGTGTCTGGGTAGCTGAGTTGGTTAAGTGTCTGACTCTTGACCTCAGCTCAGGTCTTGATCTCAGGGGTCATGAGTTCAAGCCCTGTGTTGCGCTTTGTGCTGGATGGGAAACCTATTTAAAAAAAATATGTAAATTTTTAAATAGTAAATATGTCAGTTGTGCCCAAATTGTTATACAAATTTCATGTAATTAAAAAATTCCAGCAAGATTTTTTTTTCTGTATGGCCAAGATTATTCTATACAGAAAGGCAATAGATCTAGGATAGCTAAGACAATTTTGAACAAAAAGAATCATTCTGTGCAATTTTAAGACCTGCTATATATCTATAGTAATCAGGACTGTGTGGTATGCTTAGAGGAACAAATTCCTAGATCAGTGAAAGAGAATAGAGATCCCAGAAATGGAACCACAGAGATATATATGCCCATTGACTTGATAGAAGTGCAAAAACAATTCAGTGGAGAAAATAAAACCTTTCCAACAAATGATGCTAGAGCATTTGGACCTGTATAAACAAAAAAATAAAATAAACCTCTACTCAGACTTCACACTGTATAAAAAAGTTACTCAAGGGGCTCCTGGGTGGCTCAGTCAGTTAAGCGTCCGCCTTTGGTTCAGGTCATGATCTCACGGTCCATGAGTTCGAGCCCCATGTTGGGCTCTGTATTGACAGCTCAGAGCCTGGAGCCTGCTTCAGATTCTGTGTCTCCCTTTTTCTCTGCCCCTCCCCTGCTCATGCTCTGTCTCTCTCAAAAACAAAGATTAAAAAAATTTTTTTTCAAAAAAAAAGTTAACTCAAAATAGTTCACAGACTTAAATGTAAAATGCAAAACTATAAAACTTTAGGGCTATGCAAGGAGTTAGACTTCACATGAGAAGTATGATCCATGAAAGTAAAAATTGATCAGTTAGACTTAATTAAAATGAAAAGCTTTTGTCCTATGAAAGACCCTGTTAATTAGGATGAAAAGACAGACTACAGACTAGGAGAAAATATTTGCTAGCCATATATCCAACAAAGGACTAGTTTGCAGAATCTATAAAGAATTTTCACAACAATGAAGAAATCAATCCAATTAGAAAGTGGATTAAAGGCAAAAAGATATTTCACCAAAGAAGATATAAAAATGGCAGATAAACACATGAAAAGATGTTCAGTATCATTAGTCATTAGGGAAATGCAAATTAAAACCACAATGACTTACTATCATATACCTATCAGAATAACTAAAGAAGTTGCAGCAACATCAAATGCTGGTGAGGGTACAGAGAGATTACTCCACATGATTCCTACATTGCTGGTGGGAATGCAAAACAATACAGTACTCTGGAGAACAGTTTGAGAGTTTCTTTTTTAAAAACTTAATATGCATTTACCGTACAACCCAGAAGCTGTACCGTTATGTACACAAAATCCTGTACATAAATGTTTATCGCAGTTCCATTCATAATAGCCCCAAACTGGAAACAACCCCAGAGTCCTTCAGTGGATGAATGGTTAAACTGTGATACATTCATACCATGGAATGTTCTTTAATAATAAAAAGAAGTGAACTAAGGATATATGCAATAACATGGATCAATGTCTAGACAATTATGTTGAATAAAAAAGCCAATCCCATAAGGTTACATACTATATCATTCCAATTATATAAAATTCTTGAAATGACAAAATTATAGAAATGTAGAATAGATTAGTGGTTGCCAGAGGTTAATATACAGGTGAAGGTAGAGTAGGAGGGAAGTTGCTCTAAAAGGACAACATGAGCAGTCCTTGTAGTGATGGAAATATTCTGCATCTTAACTGCATCAATGTCAACATCATGATTTTGATATTGTACAAAATATTGTACTATATTTTGCAAAATGTTAGTCTTTGGGGGAACCTGGGTAAAGGGTACTTGGGATCTGTATTATTTATTACAACTACATGTGAACCTATAGTTGTTTCAAAATTAAGTTTAATACAAAAATAGCTTACTGAATTACAGACTTTAGATGGTAGATACACAGGTATTCACCATAAAATTCTTTCAAACTTACTATATATTTGAAAGTTTCCATAATAAAATTCAAGAGAAAACAGATTTTTCATATCTACAAAAGCAGCACATCACCATTACATCTTTTTTTTTTTTTTTAATATCTTTACAGTATCATAAATAACATGGTAAGTAACATTTTGGAAAAGAAAAAGACAACTCTGGAAACCTCACACATGGATATTTATCCAAGTGAAATGAATTTACATTCATGCAGAAATCTGTATGCAAATGTTTATAATGGCTTTATTCACAGTCCTCAAATTTGGAAACAACCTTTATCCTTGAGCTGGAGATGGATAAGTAAACTGTAATACATCCTATAATGGAATACTACTCAGCATTAATAAGGAACAAACTGCTGATACACACAACAACATGGGGGAGTGTCAAATGAATTGTTGAAGTGAAGGAAGCCAGACTTAAAAGAGTGCATCAGTATGATTCCATGTATACAACATTCCTGCAAAGGAAAAACTATAGGGGTAGAAATCAGATTAGTGTTTGTTAGGGGCTGGGTCTGGGGGCATAGGTATTTCAGGACTTGATAGAACTGTTCTGTGTCTTAATTTTCATGCTGACATAACTGTGTATATTAATCTAACTTCAGAGTACCCAAGAGAGGGTGAATTTTACTGTATGTAAATTGTATCTTTATTTTTAATAATGAAAAAAATGTAGCTATGGCTGAGGGAGAATGAGTACCTTAAATCAAGGCAAGTTACAGATAATTTTAGAAAATACTTCTTTAAATAACACATCTACTTTCTCTGCCACCAACACCCACCCACACTTTAACCATACACCCTGTCCTCCCTAGTTATAAATATTCCCTAATGTCTTTTTTTTTTTTGAGAGAGAGAGTGAAAGTGTGAATGGGGAAGGGGATAGAAGGAGAGAGAGAATCTTAAGCAGGCTCCACATGCAGCATGGAGTCTGACACAGGGCTAGATCCCACGACCTTGGGATCATGACCTGAGCCGGTATCAAGAGTCAGACGCTCAACCGACTAAGCCACCCAGGCACCCCTTCTCTAATGTCCTGATATAAAATCCATCTGTGTTAGAGATGAAATAACAAATCAGAAGGGTTATTTTACTACAGCATAAAATTAAAACTCTGAAGTTAAGTTTGTTATTCAAGCTAAAATTGCACACACTATTTAGAAAATGAATTACGGTGGCTAAATTGGGAAAGATATGGCCATTTATTTATATGAAAAAGTATTTATTTCATTAGAGGCCAACAGTATAAACAGGGTGCTACAAAAAATGTAATAGCTTTCAAAAAGGTAAATAGTGAGGAAAGTAATGTTTATACTTTGACCTTTATTAAATCACAGCTGGAATATCTTAAATTGTTTTGTCACTTAAGGTTACTCCAGAGACTTGATAGCTGCCTATCAACTGTGGTATGTGTTACAAGGAAATAGGTTTTATACTTAGAAGTAGGGACTTTGTAGCAATTAGACTAGTACAAAAATGAAATGGAACTACCTCCAAAGTATTAAGTGCTCTGCTTTGATCTGTGTTCAGGGGCACATACTCTTCCTTCTATGGACTCTGGGACTCTGTAGACTGATTTTGTTTTCTATTTCATTTTAAGGTCATTCAAAGTATCTTCTTCAGGCTAAGCATCGGCAGGATTCTTTATCTGTTGTAGCTCTTAGAACATCAAGTTATTCTAGTTGGTCTTATCTCTAGTTATCAGTGGCCTGTTAATGGGGTGGTGTCATCAAGAACTGTTTTCTAGTTTATCCACGTGTTGGCAAGCAGCAAATACTGCTGTCTTCTATTATCTGATATCTAGACCCACTCCTATAATTTATACTCTCATTTTCCACAATTTTAACTGCTTTTAAATTGTCTATAGAAGACTGAGACTAGCATCTTGAATAGTGCCTGCACATAGTAAACATATTTGAATGAATGAATTTCACTTTCTGATGCATGTTTCCACGAAGATAACAGTGATTCACATTCAGATAACCTGAAACATGCAAACTTTCTGACTAATTGTTTTTGTTTTTTTTCTGTGCAGGAATTTCGGCAGAAAGTAATGCTAGGAACTCCTTTCCTAGTTATTTGGCTGGTTGGGTTTATAGCAGACCTAAATATTGATTCTTGGCTCATTAAAGGGCTAATGTATGGTGGCGTTTGGGCTACAGTACAATTTCTTTCAAAGTAAGTGTGTTGTTTTTAACTATGTTTTTATCTGTACATGAAAAGATATAATTTGGATGCTGCTTTGTAAAATTAATGTTTTGTATGTTTAGAATACTACCTTTATGTAATATATTTCATCTTAATTTAGTGTTAAAGAAGTTTGGCAGATTTATATCTGAAATCTTTTAAATTTTTAATGTTGTTGAAATGTTGAAATTCTAGAGGTATATTCAATGACAAACTCTAACATAATTTTGAAGTCTAAGATACAATTTAAAAACATTTCAGTAGAAGTAGATTGAGTTCGTTGACCTAACTAATATACATATTGCTTATTTCTAGGTAATTATAGCTTTAGCTTACCTTTTTATAGGAGTTATATTTTCTTTGGTCATAAGCAATATGCAAGAAGGAGGTTTGATTTTAGTAGTAAGGTACAGTCTGAGCATATGAAGTACGCTCAGCCTTTTTATTTTCTCCTCCCTCTTTTTTCTTTAAAACATTGTGATCTTTCCCTTTTTTTTCTCCTTAGATCTCATTTTCTAAAATTGCCTATTCAGCAAACCTAGGCAGTTGTCTATGATCTAGAACTTCCTACCTAATCTCCATTCCTTTAGTACTTTGTTTTCACCTGAATTTCCAACAAAAAAGAAATAAAGAGTTCTGAAAATAATTCACATAGAGTCTGTTAGCTCTCAGGAATAGGCTTAATTCTAGGTAATTAATCTCATTTTAGTGTTTGTAGGGGCTCCAAGGGGTCCTATAAATAGGAAGACTTCACACATAGCCTACATGGATAGTTGATCCTGCCTATGTTTAATAAAATTCATTAATACTTTTCCCAAATTCTAAATTCTGTAAATAATGACCTTCAAATCCATTAAATTGGCCAGTTCATTCTGTTTGAAAAGCTGTACTAAAAGCTTAATAGGAGTGTGTAGGTAAGGAGAAATAATGAAACAGAAAAACTTGAGGATTGCTTTGTACTCATTTGTCAAAATTATAATACATCTTTGATGAATAATATGCTAAATGATAGAGTTACTAACTATACTGAAGTGAATTATGGACTTAAGAGAATAGAAGTAGACTGAAATTCTGAGGCTGAAAAATATCTAGAATAGAATATAATTCTGTTGGTAAATTAGGATCCTCAGAATCTTGCTCACTCATTCAGCTGTGAACTCATTTATTATTGATTACCATGAAAAATGGTCTTGGTAGTTAAGCATTCTGGATGTCTGGATTTTGGTTAAACCAGAGTTTACTATGTGGAACATGTGTAATTTTCATTTAAATAAATAATTCCTTTTTACAAGGAAATCTAGAGCTCAAATTTTATAAAACTTGTGTTTTGCAGATCCTTTTTTGATCATTCAATGCATAGTGCATTGCCTCTTGGAATATATTTGGCAACCAAATTTTGGATGTATGTAACATGGTTCTTCTGGTTTTGGAATGATATCCTTTGGTTATAAAGGTCTTATCTAAAGCAAATTTTGTTATTTAAATGAGTGTTTTATAATAATTTAACATTTGGGACTTAAGTATCCATGATTTGTTGCAGTAGAACAATATTTCTAGAAAAATAACGTGTGAACCAATGTAAATATTGCTCTTAAATGTTTCATATTTAATAGATTGCTTTTGACAGCCGCTTTTAATAACAATATCAGAAATAATAATAGTAGCTACTATTTAGTATTTGAGTGTTTAAAGGGTATTTTCTTAAATACTTTGTACTCGTTTAGTACACATTCTATATGTTAATATTGTTATCTCCATTTTATACATGAGAAAATTTAGGCTTAAATAGGTTAAGCTGTTATCCTTGCCCAAGGCTACACAGCTAGTCTCTGGTAAGGCTGGGATAGAAACACATACTTGTCTGCTTCTATAACACCCATTCAAAACCTTTTTACTAAACTGTGATTTTCGTGTTTTAGTACCAGACTATGTACGCTAAATATTTTCTTAATATCACAACTTTTTATTTTGTTGTGGAGGATAACAGTTAATTTCCTTTTGCTTTATGAAAAAGCACGCTGTGCTGTATCTTCAAATATTTGCTAATTATTTCAATGTAGTATACTTTTACAAAAGTAATATAATCTGAAATTGTAAATGTGTGTGTGCATGTGTGTGTATCAAAGAAATAAGGACAGGGTCACCTTTTGATATTTTTACATAGAAAAAGCTCAATCAGTAAGACAGTCTGTTTTATTAAAATAAAGGCACATGTTTCACAAATGTCTACTAAAATCATTTTTTAAAACATTACTATAAAAAATATATAAAGTAGATTTTAAGTAACATGCAGTTTTTGGTGACTTATAGCTATTCTGAACGATTTTAATTACTATCTAGTTTCACTTCACAGTCGTGTATGTTATAACATTGTGTTCTTTTTGTTGTCTGTGTTTTAAACAAAAACAAAATACTGAAAAAAAATGCTTATTTTGAGACTGAGGCACAGTCTTACGTTTTTACAGCGTTATATGATTACTTTCAGAAAGTGGAGTGCTTTTTAAATATTTTTTTTTAGCGTAAGTATCTTTTGAAATGTTGCCATGTGACAGTTTTCACTAGCTCATTCTGCATTGTACTAAACTTTGACATAAACATTATTCAAGGATTTATTAACCATTAGAATTATCTTATTGAAACATTTAGTATAAGTAAAATAGATCTTCTTATTTTCATTGCCTCATCTATTATAAATTTATAAAAAGCACTGACCTCTGAAATGACTTTAGTATTCCAGACATACTTTCTAACTTTGTTTCCTAAATTGGACAGTAAATTTTACATCCCGAAAAAAGTCAGATTGACATTTCAGAATAATTTTAGACTGTTGCTGTTCTCTTAATCTGTTGTGCATATAAGTGGAGAAAAGCTGGAAAATTAGTAAATTATAAATATTGAAAACTTCATGCCAGAGAGTTTTATGTAGTCTGATTTGAGTTTTTTGTTCCTTTTTTGGAGACAATAAATAGCTATGCAAGTTTCTAAGCTAGGGAGTTGAGAATGTGAGAGGTAGATTTTGAGAGGAAGGTCAGCACAATCAAATCTGTTTAACTTGTTCTATTTGAATAATTGTGTCTTTAGAACAGATTGGCATATAGTTCATTTTTTAGATGCACTGAACAAATTGCATATATTTTTCAAATAAAAATTATAGTATGAAAATACCAAGTTTCATACTTGTCTGCACAGGAGTGATGATCATAGTACTGTCTCACAGAAGTCTTGAGCATGAATGTAATAAAGCTTAGGATACCTGACATGTAACAAATGTAAATAAGTATGTGTTATTATCTTCTGCATGACTTTTTGGATCATTGTGTCTGTCTACATCAGTTTTAACTGTGCATTTATGGTTTCTTTTATTCAGATGTTTGTATATGTGTATATGCTACTCATGGAATGTGGAATGAAATCACAAATAACTTTAAATTCTGATTATAAAAAATTGTTTTATACTTATCTATGTTTTAAAAGAACCATATCTCTAGACCTTATATGATATTAGAGCTATATTTTTTTTGTTTTTAAGTGTTAAACTTCTGAGACCAGAGATAGGAACTCAAGAAACCTATAGGAAGAAAACAGAAAGAACCCAGAATAATTTATAATGGAAGCACAAGGGGTGTTAGGCAGGAAAGAGTCATGAGGTTCATGATATAAAATAATGATTAAGATATAGAGTTAAAATAGCAGCTGTTATCAGGGACTGCCTCTCTTATTGACCTCAGCCTCTCTGTTGTTGCTTGTACCACTTTCCTCGTGCAACTCATGACTGCGTATGTAATTAAAACTGATTCGACTAGTTGTGGAAAATAAGAGTTACAGTCAATTTTTATTATTTGTGGTAATTATGTTCTATAAAGTTGCTGCAAACACTGAATTAGCAAATACTAAACCTATTGCTTCTGGAGAAGAAGAAAATGTCAGGCTCTGGTCACATTTTTGTCCATCAGTCAGTACATAACCTTGGTTTTATGTGTTTCTGTTTCAGTACCAAATTTAAGATTTATCACTGATTGATTAACATCGGACTCACAGCCAGCCGCACTATAACCCATGCCTGAACAAAGCTTATATCTGATATTTTCTCTGTAAGGCACATCACAGCCCTCATGTGTTTAGGAACGTGAGATAACACCTCAGCACTTCACTAGGAGGCCATTTTAAACAGTAAAATCACCAACAAAAAACACAAAAAGGCAAAAGTGTGGCACAGAATAGACCTTTCAACTCAGCTGGCATTACGTGCATAGGGAGATACATATTTTTTGCTACTTTGCACATACCCATGATGACTAAAAAAGTACCGTGAATATTGATTTTAGGGTTACAAATAAATTTTATAGGAAGTAGGCATGAGGATCAACTGTATAAACTTTAGTTTCTCATAATATACCCAACTTAAGTGTTATTGTGGTGATAATGAATTTTATATTGATATAAACTATTCTTACAAGTGAGTTCTTAGTGTTTTCTATTATTCATTAAATAATTGTCATCTCAGGGTCGCCTGGGTTGCTCAGTTGATCAAGCAAGAGACTTCAGCTCAGATCATGATCTCACGGATCGTGAGTTCGAGCCCCATGTCGGTCTCTATGCTGACAGCTCAGAGCCTGGGTCCTGCTTCAGATTCTGTGTCTCCCTTTCTCTCTGCCCCTCCCCCACTCACACTCTATCTCTCTCTCAAAAATAAACATTAAAAAAATAGTAATTATCATCTCCTATATACCTTATATTTATTCAGCGCTTTTTGGTTTATAGTTCTTTCAAATCTATTATGTGACCTGGTTCTCAGAGCAATTCTTTGAGATTAGAAAAACCACACAAATCCTAATCCTGTTTTCCAACTGATGGAAGGAACCCTTGAGGTTCAGAGAAGTTGTATGTCTTGCTCAAAGTCATATGGATAGGTTATCAAGAGTCTAGTATAGCACCCACCTTTTTGATGTGATAACAGTGTATCTTCAAATGTGAACATAATTTTAAGTTTTTAAACCTTGCTGGAAAGCAACATGTAGAAAGAGCTTTAAACATATCCTTAACTGGGGTGCCTGAGTGGCTCAGTTGAGTGTTCAGCTCTTGATTTCGGCCCAGTTTATGATCTCATGGTCCTGAGATCAAGGCCCTTGTCAGGCTCTGTGCTAGGCTTGGAGCATGCTTGAGATTCTCTCTCTCTCTCCACCCC